AGGCCGGGAGGCCCTCAGCCCCCAGGCCCCGTGTCTCCTGGGAAACAGCAGCGAGGCTTGCCTGGGAGTGAGCTGTCATGCAGTCCCGGGCAGCGCACCAAAGGGTGGCTTGTCTCAGAGAAAGGGAAACCTGGGCAAGAACCCCAAACCCTCATCAAGATCTTTAGTCCTTGCCCAGACACGCCCAGGCAGGGAGACTGGGGAATAGCTGTTCTCCCAGAGCGACCCCCTTCCCAGTTCAGAGACCAGTCCCCACAGGGCACCAGAGGGGAACGGGTGGGGGGGGGGTTCAGAAGGAAAGGGGGAGCACGTCATGGACCCAGCTGTCGCATTCTTTGTGCCCCCTTGCTCCCGATCTGCCCAGCTCGGTACTTCATGAGGAAACCAGGGGGGCAATCCACCCCCTAAATCAACAAGTTCAACCACAACACCCCTCTCCCCGCCCCCCGCAGAGCACCTGAGCAGGCAGCACGCAAAACCGACCCGACCAGTTGCTAAACAACCTGGCTCCGCACCCTGAGCTCAACCCTTCCTTTCAGCGAGGAAGCCGAGAAGCTACCGAGTGGGATCGTGATTCTTGGCATCAGAGGCAGAAGCACGTATCTCGTTGGCTGCTGCCAGACATGCCAAGCACGTACACACAGGATGCAGCCCGGAGGTCGGAGAGCCAGCCAGAGGCGTTTGGCCGCACGGTTGGTCTCCATGGCGCCTTGACAGCCTTCTTCGGCAGCACCAGTGGGGGGGCCACGGTGCCTTGAATTTCATGGGGGTGACCCCGGGGCCAGACTCGCCCCAGGGACTAGCCCCAGCTCAAAATGGGGTTTAGTGGGGACTCAAATGAAGCAAAGTCTCTTGTGCCCACCTGTCCGGGGACAGCTCCACCCTGAATGATCCATAGAAAACTCAAGGCGAACAATGTCATCAAAGCAATCAGAGGTGGGGGGGGGAGGGAGGCAGGACAAAATCTCCCACTGTGCAGTGTCTGGAATTACCCACCTGGGTCCCTCCACCATGGTTCCTCACGGAAACACAGGGTGTGTGCGTGTGTTATTTCTCACGATTTAAAATTAGTGGCATCACGTCTGAACTTTTCTCCTGCTGACCCCTCTCAAAAGGCCCCATTGCAGGGGCACAGAAAGCCTTGCAGGGTCATCGCATGCGTGTGCAGGAACAAACCCTATTGTCCCACCAGGCCACATTTCGGAGCTTGCAGTGTAGAGGGGCAGGTCAACTGGCGGGAGTGGGGGTGGGGAGAGGGAATGGAAAATAGGGCAGCTGCCCCAGTACTAGGGGTGTAAAAAATTGTTTAAAAGTATAACTGTGTAACCTCTTAAAATCCTGGCGGTTATATCAAAGGTGGGCAAGATAAGGCCCACGGGCAAGATAAGGCCCACGGGCCGGATCCGGCCTGTCAAGCTATTTGATCTGGCCCGTGGCCTGCCCTGCTGCTCTCCCACCCCCAGACCAATTGAGACCTGGGGGTGGGAGGGGGTGCGAAGTCTCCTCCCCCTGCCAGGGGCGTGTGGCACCTAGAGGGAACCGCCCCTTTTCGCCTGAGGGCCTCCCCTTCCACGTGAGGCCCCGCCCCTTCTCGGAGCCCAGACCTCAACCACATACTAAAATCCATGAAGTGTCTCCCTTGCAAAAATTATCGCCCACCCCTGGGGTATACGGTTACATGCAATTATATATAAGCTTTGGACCGTGGAGCCTGCAGTGCAGCCGGCTGCTGGGGAGCAGGGCCAGCTGGGGTCTCCCTGCAGGCTCCGCAGTACAACTTTTCTCCCACAGAGCCCGCAGTGTGAGGTGAGCCCCGGCGTGTAGCCGTAACGGAAACCGGCAAGCAGGCTGCACTTTTACATCCCTTCCCAGGGCCCCGAGGCTCCCGGCTGCTGGTACTATGGCAGCGGTGGCATCCAGACGCAGGCCTTTCAATCGCCACCGGAAATCCGAGCAGCATCCTCCGGGCGGCACTGGAGCTGGTTTTGGGCTGAGGGGGTGACTGGTTGCGATCGGGTTGCCCTCTCTCCTGGACCAAACGGACCAGACTCCATTGCTGTGAATGGGGTCTGTCTAATCCCAGGAGAGGCAGCCCTCACCCCCCCAGGCTGTGGCCACAGCCAGGGGCACCTGCAGAGCCCTGGGCTGGCGGCAG